TATGTTTCTAGAGCTCAGAATTACTAACTAGTTGTCTAAGTATAGTAGTTCTTAATCCTTACAAGCTCCTATAATACTTCTAAGATTGTATTAAAGCTTATAACAGAACTCATCTGTGTTGTAACTGTTCCTAATTGTTATAAGAAGGTTAGGATCTGTAAAGATTTGTATAAATATACTTTCTAAGGTTTCCTGTACTAGGTTCTTATTTTCTAGACTAGTATTAAAGTCTGAATGATAGGAGAGCACATTAGCAACTGTGTTCTCTTCTCCTTTAATGTAATACAGTTTATAGTTATACTAGGAAAGGTCCTTTATCTACTAGGCTTGTCTCTAGAACAGATTGTACTATGTATCTAAGTATTTAAGAGTATATTAATCTGTATAAACATAGAAATGTACTCTCAGAAGGTAAATACACTATTTCTTAAGTGTGTAAACAATTGTAAGGAGTTTGTACTTGTGTATTAGGTAATTGTGTTCTATACTATTATATTACTTAGACTTGAATACTATAGGTTTTACTGTTTTCTACAAGGATCTAATACTAAGGACTACTCTAGTCCTAGAATTACTCACATTCATAGTTACATAGATTTACTCTCCTGAATTGTAGTCTACAGAAGTGAGACACTTACAGCTAGTAACAATAGACTTGATTGTGTTGAAAGTGTATTAGTGTTCTAGTTTCTACTCTAGAAACACCTTATTATAATCCTTACCTGTAAGTAGAGAAAGAACTATAGTATGTTCTATAAGGTGTAGAAGGTATACTACAATATACTATAAAAGTCTAAGAAACCTACAAATGTCCCAGGCTCTCTAAGGCTGTAACAATTCTAGAATACACTTGACTTTGTCTGAGTCTGCTTCTGTACCCTTTTCTGTAATTAGATACTTAAGAAACTTAACCTCTGTACAGAATAACTTAGTTTTCTTCTGTGAACAGACAAGACTCTTGTTATAGAGTACCTGTATAACCTTTCTAATGTTTCTAATGTGTTCTACCTCTGACTCTGACTAGATAATAATATTATCCAGGTAGACATAACAGATTCTTCTAATAAGATGTTCTAAGACTCTTATAACTCTCTACTGTTGTATAGCTAGTGTATTACATAATCCTATTAGTATGAATGTCTACTTATATAGTCTGAATAGAGTACTAATTGTAGTGAGTAGGATATGTTCTAGATTTATACAGGTTTGGAAAAACATATTAGTCATATTAATCTTTGTATATATACATTCTCTAATAACATTATTCATAATTTTGTCAATACAGGGTAGTAGAGTCTAGTCACAGATTGTGTTACTATTTAATGCCTAGTAGTTGTATACTATGTGTGAGAGGTCTTCTGAATCTACCTTTAGGATTAGGAATGTAAGTAATGTGTATAGACTTTCTAACCTTTACAAACAACTAGCTTGAATGTGCTAGTCTAGGAGTGTGTATCAGGCCTTCTAGTATTTCTGTAAGTATGTACAAGACCTTGTAGCTACTACCTTAGACAGGTTCTTAAACTGTATGTTGTGTATAATCTCTTCTAAAAGTTCTACAACAGTTAGTATAGACTCAGAGTTTAGGAAGCAATCTTAGTATTGTTACTTTAGCTCTCTATCTAAGGTCTTATATTACTCTGACCTAGCTAGTGTCTTAATACACTCTCAAACAGTTATAGCTAGGGATAGTACTAGTTCTGAGGGAACACATGTAGGTTGTAGAATGTAGACTGATTCTGTCCTTTCTACCTTTATTAGATTATATTTAGAATCCTTCAGAATAACTGTCTAACCTTCTATGTTAATAACAATCTAGTTCTTCTAAAGGAAAGGTGTACTAAGAATCATTTTATTGTACAAGTTATTGACTATACAAGCTTTTACAACCTTTAATATCTATTTCCAATCTGCCAACTACACTTACAGCTTTACCTACTCTATAATCTATTTTCCTGACTCTTCTACTAATTTAATAGTTAGTATTATAATAATGTGTCTTTTGAGTAGAAAGTACTTAAAGCCTATCTAGAACACTAGTTTATTATTAATCAGAACTGTAGAATAGTCAGAGTCAATCATAAGTCAGATATGAATTAAAGTAGAACTACCTTCTATAAGAATATAGTAGTCAGAGAATAGTAAAGAGTTAGAAATCAGAACATACTCAGATTTGTCTCTACTTGTAGATTCTAACACTATAGATTACTCAGTTTGTACAAGTATAGTAGACTTTTACTTTAAACAAAGGGACTCAATATACACTTCTGTAATAGGAACTGTGTCTTTAGGTTTTAGCAGACCTGTTAGACAATTATTACCTCTATAATTTACAAACAGTTTATAGTACTAGAAACATTCTTAGTTCTTTATTAGGAGTTAGTACTCTGTATAAAACAAAGTAATATACTTTACAGTACTTCCTAAGGTAACCTTTAGGTTGACTGTTACTAGGGTAAACATTCTAGTGTGTAGCTTCTCCTGGTCCTTCTTCTGGGCCTGTTCTATAGCTAAAATAGTCTTTATACTGTTACAGACCTTTACACAATCTGCTTCTAACTACTTTACTAGCTTGTATACATACTCTAGCTATTTACAGAGTCTTACACAGTCTGTTACTTCCCTTCCCAGGATTGGTTCCAGAGTTGAGAGGTGGTTTACAGGATTAGGAATTTAGTTATTTACTAGTACTACTATGTATACCCTTTCTGTATACATTATAATCTGTTTAGTGTAAGTTAGAACTAGTCTTATAAGAGTAAGACAGAGCTTGAACTAAAGATTAGAGTGTAGATTTGTCTTAAGAAGTTTGTAAAGCCTGTCAGGATTAAGGTACCAATCTTCTGAGAGACTAAAATTTATTCTAGTAACTTATAACTACTATTTCTAGAAGTTGTAACTGTCTTACTATATTATAAGTAGCTTGTTCCAGGTTTACTCTACCTAGTCTATAGAGAGTATCTTACACTAAACCTCTCAATAGAATGTGTCCAGTATAAGTCCCTCAAGCCTAGACTAGTCATACTTACACTACTAGTATAGTTTACTATCCTGTAAGCATTCTATTACAACTGTAACTATATAGGTTGTAAGAACAGATTTGACAGACATATACTTCTTATAGAATGTAAAGATTTATAACTAGAGAGTATACAGTGTTAGATTACTTAGAGTCAATATTAGAGGCTTTGTAACATTCTCTCAGATTAATTAGACTTTAGTAAATATAGTTTAGAACATAATAACTTTCTAGTGTCTTAGAGTAGACTTACTTACATTACTATCTACTTCTAATAACTCTGAGCCACTCTCTGAGTCTGAGCTTAGAGTAGCTATAGATAGTAGTAGTGTTAGGGAAGTGAATACAGATTCTTTAGTTAACAGAGGAGCAACTATAGTAGCTTCTAAGAATACCTAGTACTAGGGGAAACAAGACCTAGTTATATACAGTTAGGAGGAGGGCTGAGCTTACTTTAAGACTGTAGTAGTACATTTAGAAAGGTTAAAGGGCCTTACTAACAGTAGGGAGTGTTTAGAAAGGTTAGAGAACCTTACTAACAGTAGGAGACATTCAGGAAGGCTAGGGGAACCTTACTAACATGTAGTAAGACAAAGACTACTTTGTTAATATTAAAAAAAAGTAGAACAGTACTAGGAAAGTGTTAAACACTATTACAAACAAGTTCCAAGTTTATAGTAACATGTAAAGGCTGACAGGACAAAGGTATCTTTGTTACAGTCAGAAATACAAACTGATACAACAAAGGTAAAGAATACTAACTATATATACTAAGGAAATAGTCTATACTCAAAAGGGAAAATAAAAGGGGAACAAAAGAGGGGAACATAATACATACTTAAAGGGGAAGACAAAAGGGGATAGTATACATCTAGGAATGTAGGGAAAGTAGTTATAACAAAAGGGGGACTTAATACAAGCATGTAGGAAAAGTGTATGACTCAGTAAGCTACTACAAGAACCTACATACAGGATCTACAGTTCTGTACTGTAGAACTGTGTAGAAACTGTTGTAAGCTGTCAGGCAGGCTTACATACACAGGAAATAGTCAGTTTTGTAATAAAGGCTAGAATTCTTAATACACAAAGTATGCCTAATAAGGACCTTGATTCCTCTTCTCTATTATATTCAATAATATAAAGTCTTCAGACTAAAAAGTAGACAAAGTGTTTGAGAATTAGAGTAGCTAGTACTATTATAACACTAGTAATATATTTACTAAAATAAATACACTATATAGTTGTAAGTCTAATATCTAATAAAAATATTTATAAAACTTTACCTTACTGTGTTAGTAAATATAGACAATAGGAAGAATGTAGTAAGAGTAAACAAAATATACATTTATAAATATTCAGAACTTGAGTATAGAGTCACAAGTTTGTTTTTAATTTAAAACATAATAATAGTAGAAATTATAGTATTAAGATTTTGACAATAAAAATAAGTATTAATAATATTGAAAGCATACTAAACAAGGTCCAAATCTCTAAATAGTTAATACAAAGTGCTCTTTGACTAAGATGCATACTAGATATTATACTAATCCAGGCACATATAATGTACCAATCTACTACAGTAGTACACACTATGCAAGTTAATTGAGATTGCTTTAGAGTAAGTTGCATGTAGTACTAGTGGAAATTTGCATTCACTATTTTACTACCATCATTGTTGACTAACCAATGCAACTCTCAATGGTAACGGGTACTTGAGCTCAAATTTAACTCAGCATTCTAATATCTTCCATATCTCTAAGGTATTGGAGTTTAAGAGAATAACGCATTACTGATGGATAGTAACTCAGTGCAATATCTTTGTACTGCTACCAACAACCCTCCGGAGATTGTGAAGATACTCGAATGTGAGCACTATATTTCCTCAGCTACTTCATCACTGATGCTCACATCATTATATATATACTAGACAAAGATAACAACATAACCCGTATTAATGCAGTCGTTGTAACACACTTCTGCAATGGCAAGTATGATATGGGCTATGTGGCTAAAGGTATTGCACTATTTGAATGAATCGATTAGAACACTACTGAATCTACTGATGGATGAATTGACAGCCGAATACTCAAATTCTGATGGTGGTACTGGTGCAGTCCAAGGCAAAGTAAATCCGCGTCGCGCTGAACGTGAAAAAGCACTCTATGACCTGGCAGATGCGCTTGACGCTACAAGAAATTTGAGGACAAAGCTGGAGGAAATACTGGCGAGTGATGCTACATGCCGTGCGTCATGAGGTCCTGTTGCCTTGGAATGGGACGGACTCGGAGATAATCAGTAAAGCAAGCCAAACAGTTTGTTCTAGTAGCTCCCATGAGCAAGCCTACCAACATTTAATACATTAACTTGATTAGACGTTTACAATGCATGTGGTTGCAAAGACTGACTGATATCCACTTTATTTGCAAACTTCATCGAATAGAACATTTGAATTGGCTGTGTGAGTTACATACTGAATTTATGCCATATTAGCGCCAGTCCTGTGCACTCCAGCATATGCTCGGTAAATGAATTAAGCTAGATGAAGTAAACACTCGATGCTTGGCTGATGTTGCTGTAGCAAAGACAAACGAGCACTTTGTCTTTTGATCTGATTGAGCGGGCGGCGCAAATTAGGCAGCCGGAGAACTGATCTGGACGTGTGGCGCGCTTCCTCCTGGAATTTGATCACTACAACTTTATGTTACTATGTAACCATCTGACACAATATCCTTTCAAAGACACATGCAATGATCAATTTCGTGATGATGTGTATAATTTCTAATGCACAAAATATGCTTAGGTAGGGCTGCAACCGTTCCCGTGGCGCCAATCGATACGAATGTCTTCAGAGTGGAAAGAGAGGAAAGTATATGAGAACAAGGGTGGTATCCGTACCGACGCTGATGGAATACCTCCCGAGATTGATATACTGCTTGACCGTGAGTCCAGTATTCACTTGGGATGCTTATGAATGTTCCTCATAGCACGTTGGCGGATATAGACACTGGTGAGAATGTGGCAAGAGTGAAAAAGGTAATATTTTATAGGCATCCACAGCTTGGATATAAGGCTACAGGTAATTTTTTTTTGGTTCGAATACGCAGTGGCGAACAAAGAACTAAGAAGTCGACAGCGGAAACAAGAGGCGGTACTTTTGCAAGTGAAGAACCAAAAGAAAAGACTAGCTTCGGGAAAGCCCTTTACAACTTGGCAGACATAATAGATACAAGTGGAAATCTTAGGAGTCTACTCCGCAGGACTCATCGCGGTGAGTCAACCCAGATAATATTCACCCTTCTCGCATTCCTCATTGCTTTGCCATGCCATGCAGAGGGGCACAAGAACTACTGTAGTGGGGTTCGAAGGTCCACAGCTACGAGAAAACGCAGCTCAACCACCTGTAGCTGTCAGGGTGGACTTGAGGCAGATCAGGGAGACGAATCTAACAATGCTACGTAGTAGAAGTGTTCAGTTGTTAAATTTTCCTTGTCGGATTCCCGTTAGAGATTTTCTTTTGTGAGAGGGAATATACGGCATAGAACGGCTGTACGATATCAAGGAAATGTCTTAGACGTCTTGAATAGAGAATGTTCACGCACCAGTAGCTTCTGGTGTCAAAATCTGATCACCGCCACAAATGCAACTAACTAGATAGACACAGCCAACCAGCCATGGGTTCAAAGCATTCAAAAAGCAATACTCATATACAATACGCGATATGATAGACCACGAACCTGAGAAGACAATACGTCATTATACGAACACAGTTGAATACTCGCGAGTCCATGAACGGCAAAAAATCAGCACACGATGAGAACCACCCATGAGGAAGGGGGCGAACCATGTCCGTTGAAAGGGAAGCTCAAGCTAGAAGTGCAGCAGAGGTGAAGAAAGAGTGATAACACGTTTGATCACGGCGTGTGATACACAAAAGAAACTGATCTAAGGAAAAATAGAGATTCTTGTGACTCAAAGAGAATGAGTCGTGTAATGCGCAAATGGACGAAACAAGAGAACGAGAGCATTGTTATAGGCATCGCACGAATGAATTGGACAAAGGCGAGAATGAAAGAAATATGAAAGAAACCCCCACAGAGCCGAATGAACGGATTAACTAAGCAAAACTCACAAAGACCGGGCTAGGACGACGAGCGCGACAATGCACAACGCCAGGATGAACATTCCGCTCACAATAGCCGCAACCCGGCAGCGCGTCACCCAGGGGTCAAGGTGCGTACAAACCATTATTTGGACTGGTACGTCGCCGCGCAGCTGCACCGCGCGCACGGTCGACGGCGGTGAACCCTCCTTCTCGCGGTGCCCACGCAACGAACCAAGCAACTCAACTGACGAATTTTTCGCTGCTCGCCATATGGATATTGATTCCGGGACACGTTTCTCAGGTGTATCCGCCACGGCAAGCCCACCTACGTCCTGCGATTGTCGTTGAGGCGGTTGAGAGCTTGAACGATTGTACAAGGGTAATACCGATTCCTTTGCACCGCTTGGAAGACCTTCAGCCCTCGTTCCCCCACTGCGGGCCAGCATCCACCCGCCTATGAGCCAGCACCAAGGTGCTAGAAATCCCACCCAAAATAGCACCTCAGCAGGTTTTCCCTTACCCTCTCGCCATGGTGCGTGGTTCTTCAGACCCTCTTGCAACTGTGCAAACAACTTCGCGGCTTTTGAAGAGACAGTAACAGTGCTTGCTACATCGGGTGCGGCCGGTTCTGAGCCTGGACCAGGCGACTTACGCATTTTGGGTGATTTAGAGAGAAGCGTGTCGAGGGAAGCTTTAAGGCGAGCAGCAGGGTTTGTACCTTTCGTAGACGAGTCGACAAGTGTCGTATCTCCATCTAGAGGTTGCGAACGTTGTTGTTGCCCTGCTTCAAGATCTCCGGGAGGAACGGCGCTTGCTCTTCGACTTGCCGCGGAATCTTGAGCGGTCAGATACGTTAACTCCGTCCGAATGGATTCGGAGCGCGTCAAAAGTGATGGTGTGCGAGAGTGAGGTATGGAAACCCTATTCTGTAGCCCTTCACCCAAATCTTGTTCCTCCACTGTATCAGATTCAAAGTGATAATGTGGTATAGCGAAACGTGGTGTCGAAAGCGTTCCACCCAGGTCCTGCTCTTCCGGAGGATCGAATTCCGGATACTCCGCTTTCTGCGGATAGTCGACAGGCATAGGGTATACCAGAGTAGCTTCTTCCAAAGCAGCTTGATCCTGCTCAAACACATTCTGTGATTCGCGTGGGCTTGCTGGAATAACAGGTAGTGCGGGGAACGGCCGAGCTTGACCATGAGTCCGTGAAGGACTTATGCTATGTGGACCACTCAAGTCATCCAGCGTCCGTGATACTGCAGAGTGGCTAGAGTTAAATGTTGAGGTTGAGCCCGTTCGCCGAACGGAGCGATGTATAAAAAGATTAGATTGAGCAGATGTCGCTACACGTGATTAAACATAAGCGAACGTGTATTTGTGTTTTGAGCCAATCTGTATAACGTACTCGAATGCAGAGATGCCGAATCAACCTGCTTCTCAGGACAAGACTGAACTTCTTCAATGGGTGACAAGTATCGGCCAGAAGAAGGGCACCAGGCAGACGGGGCTCCGGGACCTGCGGGAATGTTCTCTGCTGTCTCTGAATAAATAGGAGCACTAAATCCTGGGCTGTATGATGCGTTCTGTTTGCGCATTTTGGGAGCTTGCTGCAGATGGACCGCATCAGCGGCTGCATCTGCAGATTGACTACGCGTGATGTAGTGATATCGTCGCTGTGTGGGCGCCGCGTTGCTTGGAACCGCCTGAGTATCAGAAAGCATCTCCCAGACGCCCTGGTTATCTGATGACATTGCCGTCGCAGACGCAGAACGGGTCCACTTCCTCACTGGGGACCGCGACGCTTGAGCCTGAGCTGGCAGACTGGTGTGCGTCGGTGGGGAAGAAGACAGAGGGGTGAGCGCACCGCTTGCAGGCTTTTCTGCACCATGACGTGTTGAAACATGAGTTTGCTCTTCACGTACGAAAGCCGCTTTATTCGGCTTTCGTGGGTACGCGCCGGGAGTGACTCCGTTGTTCGGACCTATCGCGTACGCCGAAACTTCATAGCGCACTCCGTCTGGCGAAGAGGCTTCGTCCGAAAAGCGTTGTCCTTCCTGCAAGTGCGCGTGGAAGAAGGACCCTGAACCCAGCGCAGCCTTGAGTCCAGTAATCACGCTCGACGACGAAGGAGTGTGTGGCGCTGACGTCGAGGTGTCCGTGGTGGATCTGGTCATAGTCGACATTGTGCGCGACCAGACGGAAGAGAAGGAAGACATCGTTTCTGCGCGGAGGTCCTCGTTCAAATAAGCAAGGCGAAAGACAATGCGTGCGTGAAACAGCAAGTTGTGAAGGCCTCAGTGGAGTAGCAAGGCAAACGCACGACTCCGTTAATTATTGGAGCACGCCGGTTTACAGCATGATATCACAGGTTCTGATCATGAACGGAGAGTATTCGTGAATTAGCAGCTGTTCAGCCGGAAGAACCGGGTGTACACTCGTAAAGCACAGCTACACTTTGGGGTGAAGAGAGAGAAAGTGGAATGAGAAGCTTTCGCAGTTGCACCATTCCGCAAGAGAGGACTGTGACACAGAGAGCTTGACGGAGGTTGGCGGGGGTAAGGTGAAATTGGAGAAATGCCAGCAACGTTGTCGCCACACCGACTGCGGTGAAGCAAATGGAGGTGATCCGAAACAAGTATGTTCCATTATTGTCACTGAACTGACATATGACAGCACTACCAGGACTGTATAGAGGGCTACGGCGTCAGACTAGACCAATCTAGCAGTCCCAAGTTGATGATGCGTGAATGCAAGGTGTGGAAGGCATGTAGCACGGTGTACAACATGGTGTACAGTGCCATCAAGTAGAACAGGTGTTTGGCCGTGCGATTGCATTCCCAATGTGGTATTCTACTCTGACCAGACACTGAGACAGCAGGCTTCTCGCTCTTCCCGTCTTTTCAGTTCGACTTCGGCTAAGATGGGTGTCATTACAATAAACCGCTGCTATTACTTGAATATGGCCCATGGCTGCGAGCACTATTTTTGTATCTTACTAATAGGAGCATGTCACGGGTGAATTATGAGGCTTGTGATCGTGAAAGGGATGGGTATACTTAGATTCCAAGAAAAAAGAAAATTATCAATGCATGATAAATATAATTCCGGGAAAGCAATACAAGAAATTTGTATGAGCGAATGAGCGATGTGACAGCGATCGGGAGTGATGTAAGTACGAAGGTCCGCAAAACCACAGACACTGGGGCTGACTGAAAGCAAATCGTACAAGAGGGAATGATTAGATTTCTGGTCACAGAATGTAAAGAATGGTGATATATATCGTTCGTAAATAACCAAGGCTCGTCCCTCCTTCTTCTCTTTTAAGTCTTTATGCTTTTGCAGGAATCTCACCAGAGGTACCACTGGAGATTGGTCCTGCAACTATCTCTGTGTCACGGACTCGTGCGTCTAGGTCAGTCGCTTTGGTACTCTTCACATCGGAGATGGGACCGTTATCCACCCTCACAGGCTCCTCTTTCGACGCCTTACTTTCTGAAGGCACCTCTGTGGATTCGGATGTGGATTCCTTAACAGGAATAGGTTCTTCTGACTCGTCGTTCGTTGGCTCTGAGTCTGAGACTACGCTTCCCTCCGCATCGCTCGCGTCGCCGCCAGCATCAGCATCAGCTACGGTTTCGTCCTCAGTCGCGTCATCAACTTTTGGTGGTTCGTCAGGAGTGGCATCCTCGGTGACCTCCGGAGTCGGCCCGTCATTAACCTTGTCCTCTGGTGTCTCTTGAACAGCTTCCACCCCCTTTCCCTTCTTGTCTTCCAGCTCGACTTCCTTCACGCCCTTCGTGACTTGGCGCACTTCCTCCGTGTCTTTTCTCGTCAAACCAGACGCAGGAACGGATGATGAAGCTGGCGACTCTGACTCATCGCGTGCCGGTGTGGCTACCGCGCTCCCAAATTCATCTGGCCGCGACGTCGTGTCATCATGTCCGCGCGAGCGCTTAGATAAACTGCCATTCTGTTCATCGTCGTCATCGCTCATGCGTCGCTTGCTTCCAGCAGATGGAGTGCTTGGACTGGCTGCTTAACGAAGTTCATTAGGTTTGCATGATTGATAGGAAACGCGCATATGCTGAGATTAGATGGGCGCTTTGTGTCGTATACTTACCATCTTGCTCCTCTCGCGTTCGATCAATGCGGCCTGTGAACGAGCTCGAAATCCGTCGGAGCAGTTTATACATAGAAAATGTCCTAACTAGATAATTGAGAACTGGTGTTGTGAATAGAGGGCCCGAGAGAAACAAGACAACTCAAGATACGACGCGAAGTGGTCAGTCAGTGACAAACGCCGTGAATCGAAGCACGTTTGTTGTGCCGTTGGCGCGTCGATCAAGCGCCGATCATTTTAATTTCTGTTTTAGGAATGTATATATATTGAGTTCTTCTGTAACCTCCGTCTGTACAGGCTGGGCAAAGATGCCCGACATACCCACGGGAGCACAAGTATTCGACGTCTGTTTCCATCCGACGGAGTCGCTTGTCTATACTGGTCTTTTGTCTGGTGGCATCAAGGCTTTCAGCTACGACGAGCAAGGGCAACATGAACGAAAATTCTCAATTCGTCCGTCTAAGCGGTCGTGCAGAGGTCTTGCAACGAACGAAGATGGATCTCATATCTATGCCGTAGGAAAGGGTAAAGCTATGCAGTGAGCATACTCCTTAATAAAACTCACTGGTATTGTTGAAAGTCACACAATACATAAAGTACTATAGATGCCTCCACAGGAGTAATCATGGACACACGGACTGCCATTCACCAGTGAGTAGATTGCGTGCTCTAGTTTTCATGCTATATTTGACTCTCATAGACAATACTTATATTGCAAGAGCTCCAATAAACAGGGTAAAACGCCTCATGCCCTACATGTTATGTACGGGCGACGATGATGGTGTCGTAAAGGTCTGTCCCCGTTCACTGCTTATAAAAGCCGTCTCTCCGAAAATTCTAAAGGTAGTACGTTTTACAGCTTTGGGATCCCCGGAAATCCGAGGAAGTTAGGTCGTACGACCACCACTTCGACTTCATCTCCGACTTTATGTGGATCGGGGACAAGAAGCAGCTTGTCGTGACGAGGTAAGCTCTTATACTCTTCGTCTTTCTTCTTTTTTCTCCAGAACTATTCGTCCGTGCATTTCCGAACTCCCATGAGGTCCAAAATCACTATTGCATGCGTTAATTAATTTACACTCTCTTCATAGTGGAGACGGCACGCTTTCCGTTATAGACGTTCGTTCGAAGAAGCCAGGTCCACTCGCTCAGTCGGACGACCAAGAAGACGAGTTATTGTCTATCGTGCCGATCCGAGGTGGAGAAAAAACAGTTGTCGGTACCCAACAGGGTATTTTATCCATTTTTAATCGATCGAGTGGATGGGGTGATTGTGTTGATCGTGTTCCAGGGTGAGTTCTCGCTGATTATTAATTAACTTAAAAGTTGGCTTGCGGTTATTTGACTCTTGTAAACGCGTAGGCACCCGCATTCAATCGATGCTCTCTGTACAATCCCTTCGTCCTACCCCTCCTCGCACTCAACAATCCTAACAGGCTCATCAGACGGCCTCCTACGCGCTGTACAACTCTTTCCGACAAAGTTGCTTGGCGTTATAGGGGACCATGGAGAGTTTCCGATTGAGAGGATTGCAATAGATAAAAATGGGGAAGGCAGGTGGGTAGGGAGCGTGGGACATGATGAAGTAGTAAGGATGACAGATCTGAGAGAGGTGTTCGAGGACGGAAATGGAGACGAAGAAGAGGAAGATGAGAAGGGGGATGAGGCTTCATCGGATGGTGGAGGACGGGATGATTCGGACTTCTCTACCCAACATGCCAAGGTAAAGACCGAAGAGGCAGACTCCGATTCCAACAACGAATCGAACACAGGAGTGGATGCGGATTCAGACGAAGAATCGAGAAAGAAGAAACGGCGGAGGAAAGCAAAAGTCCAGGACCCGATGGAAAAGGAAAGGAAGAAGAAACGGAGAGCGAGGAATGACGAGGTTCAGGCGGACGCTTCTTTCTTCGCCGATCTTTAACAAGACCTCCTGTTATCATTGCTTTCGTTATCACTTCAAGTTGAAATTACTCGTCTTTTTGATGAACGTCGAAAGAAACATGCTTCGCGCTGGTAGTGCCCCATAGTCTGTTTCATCAAAGTTCAAAGCGAACGGTTAATTCATTCCAGTTGACGTCAACGGTCCACATGAACTTCCGAGGTGACAACACAATCACTACATTAGATGTATGTACGTATCCGTTGGCGTAAAAAATGCACTAACCGTTCCTTAAAACGAAGAAAAAAAGATATCGACTAAAGTACCTCCGGATATCAACACATTATATTGATGCTATAAATCATCGGGTAGAAAGACACTGAAGATCGACTAATGCCGCACGCGTTTGCGACGCACGATGAATTCTCCATGTTGGGTGGGTGCGGAAGAGGCTCCTGCCTCTACTGGTGCATCGGCAATGCCGTTGGTAGAATCAGTTCGGATGCGCTTCTTCCCAGGAGTGGATTCGAAAGGCGTCGGTGAAGGTGAATGTACAGGTGATTCAGCCGTCCCATTCGTCGAACGCAGAGTGGACATAGGGTCTAGATCTGGTTCTGGTTCCGGTTCCAGGTCCCGTGTCGGAGAACGTTCGTCCCCAGTGAGCTCCGTCAATTCTGACTGTGCGTCGTCAGTACCATTCTGCGACGGTTGCTGTTTTTGATAGGCTGGCCTCGGTCGCACTTTTGATGCAACTGGCTGACTTGAAATGCCATTCGTTTCGATTATGCTTTCGACTTCCCCTTCGTCGTCATCGGAGGATGCAAAGTCGCTACCTTTCGTGCCAGCAGCAGCGGCTTTAGCGGCCTTCCTACCAGACGCGCCTACAATCACTGTCAGTTAACGCTTTCCAAATGATGAATGAAGTGGATAAAACCCACCTTTCTCCTTCGTCGTGACGTTTGAAAGCCTCTTCTCGTAGGCTCGATAAGGTTCCCATGCCTTCGAGGTCGGTGGAATCTCAATTCCAAGCATAGCAATATCCTGATCAAGGTGAGCTTTGCTTTAGGCGGAAGTTAGCTATTAATTTTCGTCGAGAAATTCATGGTACTCACATTTTCAAAGCATCGCTTGGATCAAGACCAATGAGTAAATGCTGGAGCACCCTGAAGAATGAGATAGACTTCGTTCGTCCTCTTTTGTTCTTTGTTGTCTCGAAAGCAGAGATCTTCTTCGTGATCCAGGATAGGAGAGTTGTATGTATTTCGACGATGTATTCACTGGGAAGCTTTCGAATAATGGACAGCTGTGCTCCTCGCATGACGAGGCAGGGTACAAGGGCCCTTGCTAAGGCTAAAGCATGAACCTCTGTCTCGACGATGCGATCCAGGAGCAGAGTAAATGACTAACGACCCATTCTTAAGCCCACTTCTTTGAGGAAAAGGTTGTAGGCGTACCTCCCGCAAAGCGTCCACAACAACCCCAACGACAAGCTTTCCATGGCCCTTTGCAAGACCTTCTTCTCGGAGAATATCGACCATTAATTTAGTTGATAGATCAACGGCTGCGCCAAGACGACCATAATGTGCCAATAAGATTGCTCCGTGTCGGACATGGATTACACCTGCTTTCAGTGCACGTAAGAAACTTGTCAAAGTGGTATTGAAGATGTATTCTTGTTCGAGCAAAGCCTTGCTCTTTATCACTGAAGAAATGCCTATTTAATATCTCACAGAATGGAAGAGGGTGGCATGCAGCTCACCAATCGGCTCCTCGTTAAGCTCCTCTTTCCTTCTTCCCTTTTTCTGCTTAAGCTTTGCACCAGGAGTTTCCTGTTCCACGTCGCTAGACAAATCACTACCATCATGGTTCTCATCTGGAGGAACCGGACGGTCGCCTTCCAGCTCCTCTGCGTATCGCTCGATCTCAGCCTGTACGAAACCGGCGCAACGATATTGGAGTTCGTCATTCATAGATAACGTTAAAGGAGCAAGTGGTGATTCTTCCGGCCCGACTCCTTCAGAACCAGCAGAGAACAGGACGTAAAGTGTTAAGAGATTTTGGAATGCCTGTCACGTATATAAGCATTGCACGAAAGATATGTATGGTCTAAACACTCACGGCACGCCTTACTCCAAGCAGGGTATTGGATTGAGTCCCAACGGCGTATTCGACAAGCTTCCCGAGAAGAACATCTCTCTGCTCATGAACTGCGTCTTGCAATTGCTCCTTATCGGTCGACGTACCCGGGGTGCGTATAAAATGTCTCGCCTTCCAAATAATGTGTAATGAGAGCAATTGTAATGCACGTTCGACCATCTGAAATTCATGTTAACAAAAGTAAGTCGCGATCCACGATTAACTTACCAATTCTTCCTCCTTGTAACCTAACCGGCCTCTCTCCGCCAAGGCACAGATGATATCCCAAGCATTACTCTGTTTGCCGCCTTCATCTTCTTCCATCCATGACGTTAAATCCCGCGAACTGGCGAGGGCACATAGCCGGGCGCAGATAGCGCCGAGCGTTCGTGCTTCATCATCACTAAACGTAGCAACTTCCAATTCATTTCTCCCACCAACAGCATCCCTGAGGGAGGACGCAAGCTCATCTTCGAGTTCGAGGATCTTCGTGCTGTTTGTATTAGAAAGACTAGTTGCTTCCATAAAGTGTCTAATTGCCGCCATGGAGTTGGATAAAACTAAGGCAGATGAATGCGTGAGAAATTGCTTTGAGACATCGTCCCAAAGAGATTCATAGGCCTATTCATGCAGAAATGAATAAAATGCAGTGTTGAACATCATGAAGGAATACCGTTATCATGCGCATCTCTAGATACATATCCACGTTCATGAGCTCCGGAATGAGAAGTACATTAGCAATCCGGCTTTCGTCCGTCTGATGCTTTGCGATTAGGCTCGGGAGATTGTTGATCAATTCCCTAGTAATATCAGAACCGACCACGTCCTCTTCACCCTAAGAAATTTTTATTAATGAACTCGTACATCAGTGCACATAGTGAGGGTGATACCTTTTTAGCTGCAGCAGCTCCGATCTTTGACTGGCGCAAGGTTGCAACGAATACGTCGAGTAGGATCGCCTCCTCAGCTTCCTCGAGTCTCCATGCCTCGTCTACAAGTACATCATCGACAACTTTCTTCGTCTTCTTTCGTCGTGCAGACACGGGTGTACCACCTTGTGAGGGATCCACGCCTGCTGAGTGGTCTAGGAGAAGCAAATCAAGCATTGCCTCCCAGTCACTGACAACCTCGACTTCATCCCAAAGCGCCTCCACAGCCAAGGTTGTGCGGCTCTTCTGCTGCGATTCCAGTATGATACTGGTTTCGCGCCGTGCAACACTCGGGCCATCGTCCTGTGAACTCGAGTCGCCGTCAAGATCGTTGCCGATCTCGGTACTCAAGCGATCAAGGGAACGACCCCATTGTACGAGCAGTTGAGCGAGGGCCTTCAGGTCAGCTCGTTTCTTCTCCTTCTCTGTCGGGTTCTTCTTTCCTACAAGCCGCTGTTGTGCAGCATCCTCCCAGACTCCTCGAACGAAATCACTCACTGCTCGGCGCACCTTCGCATCTTTGTCAAAGATAAGGAGACAAAGCGTGACACGCTGGGATTCATCAAGCAGTCCTTGGGCATCCACTGCACTGAGCACCTGTACAACAGCGACGCGCACAGCCATTTCCGTATCACCAGTAGCCATTTCCACCAACCGTGGTTTGAAGCGTTCCGTGAATGACTGAAGAGATATCATATAATCTGGTTTCGCATATAACGATGCCAGTGCCTTGACTGCTTCAAGCCTGACGTGGATATTTGTATCTGACAGAACCCATCCAATATATCGCAAATATTGCCCGTCAAGGAAGTGGGCAGGAAACCTCTTCAACCACTCGCCCATTGCATGTACGCATTCGGCGCGAATATTTGGATCAAGGTCTCGATATCGATGAATGAATACGCCGTCGAAAAACTCCTTAAGAAATTCTGAGAGTTTTGAGCGTCGTTCCTTCACTTCAGCAGCCTTGGCCTCAAACTCCTTCTCACGCCCGCTCGATGCACCTTTTTTCCCCTTGCGCTTGCGTTCACCCTCGCGCTGCCGAGTTATCAGTTCCGCCTCCTTTTCCACGGCCGCAGCAACATCGCACAAAGTAGTCTCTATCTCTAACGCAATGACTGTTGCAGTATGTCGGAAACTACGTAGTTGAGACGACGACATCGCCACTACCCAGGCTTGAATGGTCATAAGCAGGTCAGAAGTGTATAGGATGCCCATCTCTGCCGCAGATTGAACAAGGCGCATCAGAAATTCCGACAATGATTTGCGAAACTTTTTGAACATTGGATGTTTCGAGGTGAGAGGGTATGTCGGAGCTTCATCCTGGAGGAAAGGCTCAGAGTCAGACAGTAATTTAGTCCGACACAAGTGCGTACCTCTTTGAGTCGCTCAGTAAAATCGTCCAAAGCATCAACTACGCCATCATAATCAACGGCCCTGTCGGCATCCACGGCCTCATTGGAACCGCACGTCCGAAGTACACAAGTGATCAGGTCCGCAAGTGCAGGCTCCGAAGCTTGTTGAAACGAGTCAAGGAAGTCTTCAACGGTAGATTGTAGGGCGGCTGCAGGGTTCATAATAGCATCTGTACCAGCCAATTAATAGACTGCTAAACGCGTGATTCAGAAGCAAGACACGTACTGAACAAGGCATTGTCGTCAGATATTCTCGCCTCTGCAGGTGCCCTCGCAGTATTCATCTGCGTATTTGCTGGTTTGCGCCCTCTACGCGCCGATGGTTTCTCTGTGGCAGGTAGATTTCTGGTTCCGCGAGGCTTCTTAGGCGCAGGCGGTCCGCGCGCCTTTCCCTTTCCCTTCCCGCTGACCCGGGGCTTACGCGGTGCAGCATACTCATCCCCCTCATCATCCTCCCCTAGGAATTGTTCGTCAGCATCACTCGGTGCTTCGTCATCGTCCGCGTCGCCGACGCGTTTCCTCTTGCTCGGCGTAGCTGTATAACAAGGTCATTCGCAGATTAGGCTTAATGGAAAATTGATGACGAGATTACGCGCATGAAGACATACATATTGTGAACGGTTGAGCAGCTTTCTTATCCCGTGTTGAGCGCCGCGGTGCGGGCGTGCCCTGAATGTCGGTCATGGACGTGGTTGTCACCAGAGACATGGGGTAGCCCAAAACACGGTGCGTCACGCCGTGTCCATTCGTGAGAAGTATTATATACAAAAAAGGCAACCAAGCAGAGTTAGTGACTACGTTTCGATCTCCGATCTTGAGCCAGGATCTCTGTGAGTCTGACTCGCGGACCGTTGACTTGCGCTTCCTCAGGCTGACTCACATGCCATTCACTCGGTAGGCAGGAAAGCGAAGCGACCACATACCGATACTTCCAGATTGCACCGATCATTAACGATAGGTGGATATTGGTTTGGTCGAGTTGACTTTGTACATAATGTCGGTCACTCCAGCATAAGAATATTTGTAAAACGACAATGGATATTCAAAGCAAAAGTGGGGAGAGTGTCAGCACTTTTAAGGTTAGTAATTTATGGGCTTGGATAGGCGAGCAAAGCAAAGGAATGCTCTCTGTGCTTCTAAGCGACTTTGTAGCTTTTAAGGGAGATATAATCTTAAGCTGTAGTGAGTAAAGTGAAATAATCAATAGTACTTTCAAGTATAGCTAGAGGGCACTAGCCAATTCTATTTTAAGTGGTAAAGAAGTGTGGGGAATATATTATCAAGCTTGATAATACTAATCCAGTGTTCCTGTCCTACTTGGTCTGACTGATAACCACCCACCTAGCAAAATCAAGAAATTGTTGGATTTGTGCAAAGTAGGATCCAAGATAGCTTGTTGATGAGTCCTGCATTCAACCCTGTCTGTCTTCCAATAGTATGTATAGTACTCAATAGCTCTACACAATAGTATCCTACTACTTATTAATAATAACAGTCAATGACTTCTAGCTTTTCCCAGAGTCTGAGAGTTGTTTACACACATTATAGTATTATTTTGCATAACAAAGTAGTGTGTATAGTTACACACTTTGCAGTTACTTTGTAATATTAAGAGTAGTATAAAATGGTAAGTCTAATAGTAAAGAGTGTCTATCACTTTGCTCTATTTTCTGCTCCTAAAAAATGTCTGGCTGTTACAGTGCTACTGTTGAGTATCCTAAAGACCAAGATAAAGAAGTGCAAGAAGTAGTAAATCAGATATATAAAGGTAAGTCTGCCTGACTAACAACAAATAATTATTTGTATTAACCTACCTTACTAATATTTACTCTTTACTATTTCTGCATTTTCTAAATAAAAAAAAAGATAATTCTGAAATTACAATTGGCTATGGGTCAGCCAATAGAAAAGAAAATCCATGGCTGGTTCTAGCATTTGGTATAACTTAAATTAATCTGTAAGACAATTTACTCTATGCTCATTTTTATATTTTTATTCCAGCTGAAAACAAAAAAGGAAAGAGAATAATAACATCAGATGTCAGACCACAGATATTAGATGCTGTTCAAGACCTACAATCTAAACTTGCTGATTATAGTAAGTATTTCAAGCATACCTTTATTCCTTTTGTTTACTATTTTGCCTTATATAGAGAAGGAGAAGGAAATGGAGAAAGCTGAGAAAGCTGAGAAAAGGGCAAGAAAATCGACTGAACTTTACAGATTCATTAAGAATTTTAGGAAGAAAACTGGGCAAGATGAGTAAAAGTAGTATCTGTAATAAGTCTGGCTAGTTAGGCCAATAGTTAAGACGGATAGTATTGGTTGTGTCTCTATTAGAGAGTTTCAGTATAAAGATAAGTCACTATATAATATTCATGAGGCTAGTTGGTATATGTGAGTACATAGTGTGTATATTGTCTGCAGATACAATGAGGCCATTGACCAGACAATCCATCTTTAAAACTGTGTTGTGTACAGCCACATTTATTACATTGCTTTCTGCTCCCTTTCCACTCTCTGAATAGTGGAAATAGAAGTAATCTTACCCTCCTCATGGAACTATTTATGTACTCGCCGTCCGAGGAAAGATAGACTTACTAATACCAATGCTTGACCTGTATACACGTGTAGCCACCTGCACACATTCAGCACACTCTGACAACCCCATCATCCCACCCCTCCTCTCAACCAAACGAATTTTGCAGGGTTTACCATGCGTTGTGATACACTCCCGGACAAAACTGGATCATCAGGAAAAAGTCGCATTTCTTATAATATATTGTAGACTTTGTAAAGTAACATAAGTATTGTATATATATTGTAAAGTAATTACAAGACTTGTAAATCAATTGTAAAGTTTGTATAAGACATGTTAATGTATATAAAGGCTAAGTAAGTGTTATGGATGAATACAATCTATTAAAAGTATTATACTAACTTTGTATAATAGCCTAAAGTATTATGCTTGCATTACATTTTTAATATAATTTCAAAGAAAGGGTAATATTTACAATATAATAATGTAACAATAACTATTGTTGCCTTATAATTTATGTAAAAGGTATATTAATGTATATAATAGTGTAAGAGCACTTGTTATATAATTATTATCTTAATAAAAGTATACTATAAGTATATAATATGTATATCATACTTAGACTATCTATACAAATAGTTTACAATTATTGTAAAAAGCATTTCATCTACTTGTAATAATTACATCAGTGTGTTTAG